CACAGGGACCACGGTTCAATCCCCCAGCACCACATGCCAGCCAGCCCCGCCCCCTGGTGGGCTGAGCTGGCCACACACACACACACACACACACTAAATGCAAAATAAATAAAGAAAATAAAATAAATTTTAAAAACATTATGCTTACTTTTTGAAAGTATAGTTGCTTATCTCACTAAATTTAAATTATCCATAATTTTTACACAATTACCTAAACAGAATTGAAAGGCACTAAATCACATTCTAAATGTACCTTATCCTTGGATTAGTGGAAAGAGTACTAATTTTTAGGTCTTGTTTACACATAAATTTGCAGATTCGTATCTACTTCTTTCTGAGAGTTAGGCTGAATTCTAAATAATTTCGAATAGTGCATTTTAATTGGTAGCTGTCTTCAGAAATTTATCATTATTGTGTAGTACTATGACCTAATGAATTTTTAAAAAGAGAAATGGTTTGAGTTTTAAGCCAGCTCCAGCAAAGGAAGATGATTTTTTTTTGGAGGGTTGGGATACCAGGGATCCAACTCAGTGCCTTGTACGTGCCAGGCAGACACTTATGCTGCTGAGCTATCTCCCTGGCCTAAAGAAAGATTTTTTAAGGGCTATAAATCCAATGCCTAGTTTTCCAAATTAAAGTTTGTCAGTGGTGCTGTAGCCATTTTTCACAAAGCTCTGTTATCACAGAAATGTGTCTGCTAACCTTTTTTCACACACACTTTCAATGTAATTTTACAATTCTCTTTTATAGTAAATAGTAAAGACAACATGGAAAGACTTGCCAAAAGGCATAGATAGGCCTTGTCCAAGTCATTAGGATTGGCTGAATTTGGCAGTAGACACAGCTAAAGTATGGTTTTGTGGAAAATTCAACTCAAGAAAATGCTACCACTGGATTGAAAACAGGTTTTTTTTTTTTTTTCAAAATTAAAGACTTTATTTGTATTTTAGTCTTTGAAGCTTCCTCTCTTCTCTCGGTACTTCCTGGCAAATAACTAGAGGGATAACAGAGCCATTGTTGTGAATTTCAAACAGATATTTGAATGTTTAAAAAAACCATGTCATTATTCATTTTTAGCATTCACATAGGACTTTGTATTTTTCAAACTGTTCAATTCAAAGATCAGAGATTTTTTTTTCTCTTCCAAATGCTAAAGCTACAGGAAAGAAACCCAGAATGTATAATACACTTCATTTTAAAAAAAGCAGACTGCTGTCAGGAGAGCAAGTTATTCTGTTGTCTACAAATTCATGGGAATTTGATCCCTTTTTTTTAAACATAACTATTCAATTTTTCATGGCATCTTAAAGTTTCAACTGACATAACTACTATTTCACATTTATTCTGAATGGAAACTCACCCTAAAATTGTTGCACTTAATAAATATGTTTACATAATTTTTAATCTAGATAGTTTCTTGAAAGAAAATCACACACTTACTTTAGAGCAACAATTTACACTGTTGTGATATGATTGTGATTCTTAACAATAATTTTTTTTTCAGCATGTGAGAATGTGGTAATAGTCAATCAAACCTACGGCATACTGGAGAGTATAAATTACCCAAATGCATATCATGAAAATCAGCGATGCAACTGGACCATCCGAGCAACAAAAGGCAACACGGTGAACTACACATTCACAGCGTTTGATTTGGAATATGATGCAAGCTGTGCCACAGATTATTTAGAGGTAGGTTCTCTGGAGCTCAATGGTCATGGAATTTCCTGATCAGGCACACAAACCAAATTAGAACTCATTTGTTTTTAGAATCGAATTCCTGTAGATCCTGCCCTATATGCTTATAATACATTAACCACCCATGCTATTTGAACATGTGTATTTCATGTCTCTTTCACTGTATCACTGAATATTAAGCATTTGTATGCTAGTACAATCTGAGCTAGATTTATAGGATACCTGGTTTGCTTAGTACTTAGTATTATGCTTTTGTCTCTCACTTTTATTTTTAAATTTAGGTTCATTTCAGTTCATTTTTCTTAGGGTAAAATGGAATTTTCTGCTTGTTATAAAAATGACCACTGTAATATTTATTCAACTCTGTATGAAATGCTATGCAGTAAAAGTTACTTGAATAGTAGGCAATGTAAATATTTAAGCAATCTGCTATTTTTAATTATAAGAAATTTTATTTAATAAAGCTTTGTCACTAATTTATAGGTGTAAATTTAAGCCTAGAGATTAAAAGTTAAGCAGCTACACATTTTACTTATAATATTATAATATGAATTAATATATAAATTTTCACATTAAGTAAACATATTAATTTAAATACATTGGTTTGTCTTTTTATACTTTTTTTTGGCCAGTGTACCTGGAATTGAACTCGGGACCTCAAGCTTACCAGGCAAGCACTGTGCCACTGAACTATATCCCCAGCCCTCTATTTTTATACTTTTAAAAACAATTTCATTCAAGCTATTTAGAATTAGCATTTATTTTTCATCATTAATATATTATTTCTATACATCTTTATTTCACCTATATTGATAATACTTTTTGAATCTACATATGATGTTTTCATTAGAAATCTTCTCTGATGTGACAAGTACGTGATAGCAGGACATTTTTTCCTTGTTTTCCTTTTAGAGAAGGACAGAGAAGTTACTTTTAAAGCCCTTTGTTCATAGCACAAACACAGCAGTTGATCATATTTATTTTACCAGTTCTGACTGTCATCATGAATGTCCTCTAATAAGACTGTGATGTTCTTGAAAGCACAAATTGTTTTCAACTAACTTTGTGTCTCAGGTACTTATACACTGGGACATTAAAAGAGTTTAAGAAAACTAGGGTTGGAGATATAACCCAGTAGTAGAGAGTACTTTGTTTGGCATGTGAGAGGACGTAGATCAATCCTCCATGCTGGAAGTACACACACACACACACACACACACACACACACA